TTCCCTTCCATCCTGCCAGTAGGGTGCGAGGCCAGCATTCCTTCTGTTCACAGAAGGACGGGCTCAGGGTGAAGTTCTCCAGCGTCATCCAAAAGGGCAGTTGCTCTGAGCACTTGACTTTAAGGGGCGTGATGGTCTCTCCATTCTGGACCCTCCACGGTCTTTGTTGTCGAGACTGGGATTTGAACCAGAGCCAGCGTGAGAATCTGTGCATTCAGTTAGTGCAGCACTGGCGTTAAAACATGACCATTGCGCCCTGTCTCCCCAAAAGACTAATTCTCATGGGTGCAAGAGGGCTGGGTGTTCAGGGGGCACCGACGTGGAAGGGTAGCGATGGGGGTGGGTGTGGTTTTTAATTCTGCAGAGAGCCATCTGCACAGAGATCTGTTTAGAGACTTAGATTCAAGAACAGTGGGTGTTGGCAGATGATTAGGGGCCTCTCCTAATCAAAAGATTTCACGAAAAGCTATTCCAGGGATCAGCAGGGGCCAAATCTGGCCCTCCACTTGTTTTTTTTAAATAAAGTTTTATTGGCACACGGCAACACCCATTCATTTACGTATGGCCTATGGTTGCTTTCACCCTACTATGGCAGGGTTGAGTAGTTGGGACAGAGACCATCTGGCCTGCAAAGCTGAAAATATTAACCATCTGGCCTTTTACACAGAAAGTTGCCAACCTCATAACTGGTCCTATTAACCACTCAAGGTTATAAGTCACAGAGTCAGAACAGCCGGTTCCAATCTGTGTTCTGCCCCCGAGCAGCTGGGCAGCCCTCAAACAAGCTACTTCATCTCTCTCTGCCTCACTTTCTCCTTTGCAGAATGGAGATGCTCCCTATGTCTTAGGGGTTTGTGAGGCTTACCTCGGGTCCTCCTCTGAAGGCATAGAACAGTGTCTGGTTGGCATCAAGTGTGGGCTCTTCATGTTTTAGTGTGAGATTGCAGACTAAGTGCACAAACACTTCAATGTTTTAGACACACTCCCCCATTCACCCTCAGGAGTTTAGGGTAATTAATATGCTAAATGGGGAATTGATAAAGACAAAATGTTTGGACACTTGGAGGTCTGCATAAAATCTTTCATGTTGCTATAGTCTAGCTCTGAGTATCTCATGATGGTGCAGGGTCTCCCCCTCGGCACTGGACATTGGGGCTGGATCCTTCTCTGGGGTGGAGCCATCCTGGGTACTGCAGGTGCAAATGTTTGGACACTTGGAGGTCTGCATAAAATCTTTCATGTTGCTATAGTCTAGCTCTGAGTATCTCATGATGGTGCAGGGTCTCCCCCTTGGCACTGGACATTGGGGCTGGATCCTTCTCTGGGGTGGAGCCATCCTGGGTACTGCAGGTGCTGAGCAGTGTCCGTGGTCTCCATCCACCCCATGCCAGGAGCACCTCCCAGTCATGACAACCACAAATGTCCCCAGACATTGCCCAGCATCCCCTGGGGCAGAATCATCCTCAGTTGAGAACTTCTAAGGGACTAAATTAGTACATGGCTTATGTGTCCAGCCAGGATTCCAGTTCTTCCTGTGGGATTGGAGTGGTCACTTCCCAGGGTTACCCTTAGTTCCTGCTGTCACACTGATTAAAAATTCTTGAGCTTAGCACTGTTCTAGCCATGTGCGTTAGTTCTCTAGGGCTGGCATAACAAAGTCCTACAGGCTGGGTGGCTCAAACCAGAGAAACTTCTTATTTTCTCACACCTCTGGAGGCTGGAAGTCCGAGATTAAGGTGTGGGTAGGGTTGGTTCCTTCTCAGGCCTCTCTTCATGGCTTGTAGATGACCATCTTCTCCCTGTGTCCTCACGTGGTCATCCCTCTGTGTGTGTCCTAATCTTCTCTTTTTATAAGGACCCCAGTCATACTGGATTAGGGTCTGCTCTAATGACCGCATTTTACTGTAAACCCTACCTCTGGCTGGCCGGTTAGCTCAGTTGGTTAGAGTGCTGCCTTGTAGCATCAAGGTCAAGGATTTGGATCCCTATACTGGCCAGCTGCAGAAAAAAACAAAACAAAATGCTGTCTCCAAATGCTGTCACATTCTCAGGTACTGGGAGTCAGGACTTTGACACGTGAATTTCTTGGGTCAGGGGGGACACATTCAGCTCATAACATCCTGAGACGAAGAAACAGAGGCACAGGGAGGTAGAGTGACTCGCCTAAGGCTGCACAGCTTGGAAGTGGCAAGCCTGGGATTTGAACCCAGGCCAGCTCGCTGCAGAGCACGAAGCCTTAACCATGATGGTGGACTTGGAGATGCTTGGGGGATGGCAGCCTCCCCTTTGGCCTTCCTAGAGGTTGGGGTGCAGGCGTGGGGGTACCCAGGTACGGAGGGAGGTCAGAGGTGCTGATGCTTTCCTGTCTCGTAGGTCCTGGCGGACACCAAAGAGCTCGTGTCGTCCAAGGTGTCAGGGGCCCGAGAAATGGTGTCCAACACCGTGTCCAGCGCTAAGGACACAGTGGCCACCCGAGTGACGGAGGCGGTGGATGCAACCCGTGGCGCCGTGCAGAGTGGCGTAGACATGACCAAGTCCGTGGTCACCAGCGGTGTCCACTCAGTCATGGGCTCCCACGTGGGCCAGATGGTGCTGAGTGGGGTCGACACGGTGCTGGGCAAGTCAGAAGAGTGGGTGGACAACCATCTGCCCATGACGGATGCTGAGCTGGGTGAGTGCAGCCCAAGATCTTCAGGACCCCTCCCCGGAGCAGCCAGAGGGCGTCTGTGAGGCCCCGAATCAGGCCCTGTCCCTCCTCTGCCCACAGTCCTCCGTGGCTCCCACTTTCCTTGAGAGGGGAAAGCCAAGTCGTCCTGTGTCCTGCAAGGCCCCCTTCATTCATTCTACTCCAGCCACACCTGCCATCTTGCTGATCCTTGAACAAGCTCCCACCCCAGGACCTTTACACTGGCTGTTTCCTCTGCCAGGAACATTCTCCTCCCTGCAACACTCCCTGCAATCCTCAGCGGTTCCTTGCTTTACGTGTTCCCGGTGGGGCTGAGCCCTAAAGCATGTGGCTTGAAGGTAGCATGTCACTTGTCTTTTTTTCTTTTTTTCTGGCATCTGGCCAGTACGGGAATCCAAACCCTCACCCTTGGTGTTACTGGCCCCATGCTCTAACCAACTGAGTAACCAGCAGGTCCTCACCTGTCCTTTGAGTTTGCAAAGCCAGATTGTTGGTAACTGTTGCCCAACTCCGAGCCTCCTGGGGGAAGAGCCCTGGCTGATCTATTCCGTGCATATCCCAGTGGCCTGGGAGCAGTGCCTGCTGGCCCATAGTGGGGACTCCGACTCTGGGTCTTGGCCCCTAAAGGCAGGAGGAGGGGAGTAGGGAGGAAGGTCTTGAGCCAGGCCTGGCAGGACTTGAATCAACCAGGAACAGCAGCTACTGCAGAGAACAGATCTGTCTGACCGGCTTTGATTTTTGCGGGTGTCCGTTCTGTCCATCCACTACTGATGAAATGACTGTGCATCCTGGTGCTGGAGATAAAGGATGGGGCTGGCTGGTTAGCTCAGTTGGTTACAGTGTGGTGCTGATGACACCCAGGTCCAGGGTTTGATACCTGGGCTGGCCAGCTGCCAAAAAAAAAAAGATATGGGACTGGTTTGTAGGGGAAGGTGTGATGAACTGTTGCAGAAAGGTGTTAGAACCGGGTTTGCTCCTCAGGGCCAGGCCAGGCGAGCAGCCTTCTGCTCCACTCTGCCCAGGGAGCCGCCTCTTGTCAAGGGCACTGCCCTTTCCACAGGCCCTGCCGGCTTGCTCAGACTTGCTGGACTCTGCCAGCCGTCCTTGGCCTAAATAATAAAGCTACTTTCACTTCTAAGGGCAGAACTCCAGGATTCCCTGGGGGCTGTGGACTTCCGTCAGCGGAGTGGCTTCAAAATGTGGCTGGTTTTGTGTTAGTGTTTGCAAACCCACCTTTGGTGGGAAAATGGGGAAGAATCCGTTTTTCTCCAAATGTAGGCTTTTATTTTTGCTGCCCCTAAATGTCCCACATGCTTGTTTTTTGCGTTTTTTTTTTTTTTGTCTTTTTTGTGACCGGTAAGGGGATCGCAACCCTTGGTGTGGTGTCGCCCACACCGCACTCAGCCAGTGAGTGCACCGGCCAGTCCTATATAGGATCCGAACTCGCGGCGGGAGCGTCGCTGCGCTCCCAGTGCCGCACTCTCCCGAGTGCGCCACGGGGCCGTCCCTACATTGTTTTTTTTAGTGTCAGCAGGTAATGATTCTTCTATGACATCGCCTTCTCCAGCAGACTACGAATGTATTAGACTCTACTGTCTCTGGGCCAAATCTGGCCCACTGCTTGATTGTGTAAATAAAGTTTTATTGGCACACAGCCATGACCATTCATGTGCATATTGTCTGTGGCTGCTTTTATGCTACAGTGGCAGTTGAGTAGTTGAGAGACAGTGTAGTCTGCAAAACAGAAAATATTTACTATCTGGCCCTGTCAGAAAAAGTTTGCCAGTCACTGGATTAGAGAATATTCTTCCAGAATTTCGTAATGTTTATAGAAACAACTGAATTCCCCTGATCAGAGGCTCACCTGGACTGAGCAATGTGTTGACGTCTCTGCATGTGGTATTTTGTTGGGTCATGTATGGCTGTCCTTCGTTTCTAGAATGGTGCCTGACCCAGAATGAGTTGCACAATATGGGACTAAAACTGAGATTATAATAACTCTCACCTTATCTTGCTCATATACTCGTATTCCCTGTACTGCTTATTTAGTTTTATTTATTTTTGGTGGCTGGCCGGTGTGGAGATATGAACGCTTGACCTGGGTGTTACCAACACTGTACTCTAAACAACTGAGCTACCTTCAATATCCCTTAAATCGATTTTTCTGGGTTCTTTTTGAAAGAAAACTTTGTCACTACTATAAATGAAAAGCTATATCATCTATAAATAGATAATAAATATACTTAAACATTTGCATATCCTCCTAGGTACAAGATAGAATGTCACCCTTCAGGCAATTCTGACTCAGGTGATCATGCAGAAGGGGAAACTGAGGCTTACTGGCAAAATCACTTCCCCATAGACCAGGAGGTGGCAAACATTTTCTTAAAGGGTCAGACAGTAAATACTTAACAGCTTTGTGGGCCACCTATACAGTCTCTGTCAGGACTACTCAACTCTGCCATTGTAGCTGGACAATAGCCATAGACAACAGGTAAATAAATGGGTGCAACTGTGTGCCAATAAAACTTTATTTATAAAAGACAGGAGGCATTTGGCCCATGGGCTCTAGTTGGCTGATCTTTGCAATAGGACATTATCAAGCCAGAGAGCTAGTAGGTCTGGATTCGATCCCAGATCTGGTTACTTACAAAGCTCAAACTTGTTGCTGATATATGAATGTTTAAAGGGAGCAGGGCAAAATAGGATAAAGTTTCAGGACAGGCATTTCCTGTCTTACTGTCTTGTAACTTCACAAACTCTTTCTGGATTGCTTTGAAGATGGTTCTCATGGGGCTCAGACTTCTCCTGCCACTCAAGTTTAATGGTTAAGAACTTGGGATCAGACAGCCTGGCTTCAAATCCTGACTTGACACTTCCCAGCTGTGTGACTTTGGGCAAGTCGCTTAACCTCTCTGAGCCCCAGTTTCTTCATCCATAAAAATGAGATAACAGCACCTCCCGAAATGGTTGTTAAGATTTAATGAGAACACATGTGAAGGACCTAGAAAGGTATTAAAGATTGGCTACTGTGGTGCTGGCCAGTTAGCTCAGTTGGTTAGAGTGTGGCTTTATAACCCAAGGTCACGGGTTCCTATCCCAGCACTGGCCAGCTGCAAAAAAAAAAAAAAAAAAAATGGCCACTATTAATATGTGCCAGGAACTAATATAGGATCAGTGAACTCTTTTCTGTAAAGAGCCAGATAATGAATATTTTATTCTCTGTGGGCCAAGAGGCCACAGAATCCATTGTAGCTTGAAAGCAGCTGTAGACACTATATAATGTGCATGGTTGTATTCACAGGTTGTACAAAACTGGAGGCGGGGCAGTTGTGGCCTGCGGGATTTAGTTTGAGACACTCACACCACCCTAAGGCCTCTCAATCCTGTGACATTTAGTTCCCCTCATCCCCATTTTGCCGCTGGGGAAAACCGAGGTGGGAAATCCTTTGCTCCAAGACCTTCACAACTTGTAAGCAGGACCGGAGTATAAACCCAGGTGGTGTGATTCCAGGGACCGTCCCCAGCGGGCGAGCCCCAGCTGTGTGTTCCACTGGAGTTCTGGCCTTCACGCCGGTTCCTCTCCCTTCTCCCATGCAGCCCGCATCGCCACATCCCTGGAGGGCCTCGACATCGCCTCAGTGCAGCAGCAACGGCAGGAGCAGAGCTACTTCGTGCGACTGGGCTCCCTCTCGGACAGGCTGTGCCAGCATGCCTATGAACACTCGCTGGGCAAGCTGCGACGTACCAGGGAGAGGGCCCAGGAGGCCCTGCTGCAGCTGTCCCAGGCACTTAGCCTGGTGAGGCCCGTGATGGGGTGGGGGCAGGGGCCTGGGCTAGCCCCCTTCACTCTGCAGCAACCCCCCCTTCAGAGCCGAGGGATTTATTTCTCCCTGTTCTGCAGGTTTGGCTGGGCAGTTCTGAATGCCTGGGCTTACCCATGGAGTTACGGTTGTGCTTTGGTTTGCTCTGGCTGCCTTAACAATACACAGACTGGGCAGCTTAAACAACAGAAATGTATTGTTCCACTGTTCGAGAGGGTAGAAGTCCAAGGTCAAGGTGTCAGCAAGCTTGGTTCCTTCTGAGGCATTTATCCGTGGCGTGTCTTCACATGGTTGTCCCTCCATGCGTGTCTGTGTCCTAAATCTCTTCTTTTAAGGACACCAGTCAGATTGGATTAGGGTCTGCTCTGCTGTCTTTATTTTACCTTAATGACCTCTTTGAAGATGCTTTCTCCAAACACAGTCACATCCTGAGATCCTGGGAGTCAGGACTTCAGCATATAAAATCCTGTTTCCCCCATTTGGGAGGGGGATACACTCAACTTGTAGCAGTTCGGCTAATGGCTGGGCCTCTGTGTGCTCTGCCCCTCCAGCTGGCTAGCTGAGGCACTAGTCTGATGGTCCCAGGTGCAGTGAGAACCACAAGCCACAACGCATGACAGCTTTTTGTTATTGTTTAAAGTTAGGTTTATTGAGGTATAATTTACATCCAATAAAAAAATCACCCTTTTTATTTTTTGGTGGCTGGCCAGTGCAGGGATCCAAACCCTTGACCTTGGGAGAGTATGGTGTTGAGAACACCAAGTGAGCTAACCAGCCAGCTCTCTTTTTAAAGTGTACCACTGGAGGAGTTTTACAAAGATAAACAGACACGTAACCACCACTACCACTACCAGGAGAGGGCACGTTTCCATCTCCCCAGAATGTTCCCTCCTGCCTCTTTGCAGTCAGCTCCTGCTCCCTCCCCTGACCAGGTATTTCATTTTGTCCTGTTCTCTAGTTGAAGACCTGAACTCCTATTTTTTTTCTCTTTGCTTAGCTTCCTCTACTAAGTCATATGTCCTCTCTCTTTTTTTAAAAAATTTTAAATTGTGACAGAATACACGTAATATAAAATTTACCGTCTTAACCATTTTTAAGTGTACTTACAGTTCAGCAGCATTAAGCACATTCACACTGTTGGGCAGCCATCACCACCGTCCTCTCCAGAACCTTCTCATCTTCCCAAACTGAACTCTGTCCCCATTAAACACTCCCCATCCTCCTCCCCAGCCCCTGGCACCCCCCATTCTACTTTTTGTCTCTGTGGATCTGATGACTCTAGCGACCTCCTATGAGTGGAATCACACAGTGTTTACCCCTGTGTGACTGGTTTACCTCACTGAGCACAGTGTCCTCAAGGTTCGTCCACACTCTAGCACGTGCCAGAATTTTCTTCCTTTTAGAGGCTGAATCATTTTCTATCACAAGCACTTTTGAAGCCTCTGCTCATGTCCCATTGGCCAAAGCCTGTCCTGTGGCCAGACCCGGTTGCAGGAGGAAGAGGAATGGACTCTATGGAAGCGGCTGCAGAGAATGTGCAGCCACTTTCTTTGCACCGACTGCACGCACAGGGCGTGAGCGAGTTGATTAAGGAGCCCATGGTGTCCCTGTAGCCATAGAAATCCTGTATGACAGCGGCGTCCTTCCCCTTCCCAAACCATCTCATAAGTCAGATAATAGGAGGGCTTCCCAGGCTCCCTCTGGAATCCCTCCTCTCCCCAGGCACGTGTGGACGCTCACAGGCTCTGCTGGCTTTGGCTAACTGTCCCTCACTGCTCTGTCCTCTGCTGCAGATGGAAACTGTCAAGCAGGGAGTGGATCAGAAGCTGGTGGATGCTCATGAAAAGCTGCAGCAGATGTGGCTCAGCTGGAACCAGAAGCAGCATCAAGGCACTGAGAAGGACCTGACCAAGCCAGAGGTACCCACTGAGAGGGGTGGCCTGGGGTGCTTGGGATCCTGACATCACTCCCCATGCTTCTACTCCACTGGCCCACCTGCCTGGAACACTTCGCCCAGCCTCACCTCCCGTTAACTGCCTTAGGACTTAAGGTCACCTCCTCCAGGAAGTCCACCTTGATTCCTGCTCTTGGGTGTGAATGTTGCATCTCAGTCATGGGACGCTTGGTAGTGATACATCCCAACTTGCTAAATGCTAAGCCAAGCCATGTCTTATTTGCTTTGAGTCTCGAATCCTTCTCTCCCCAATGCCAGTGGCCTCTCCAATCATTCACATTCACCCACTGGATCCTACCGGCAACTTGTAATTAACATTCTCTGGCCTCCTTTACTCTATCGCCGGCGTCAGCCTCTCATGCCGTTCTGTGACAGCTTTTGCCGCATGTCCCACCACTCACTCAAGCTGTCATTCAATCCACGCCTTAGACAATTCTCAAGCCTCTTTCTGAATGACACCCCTTCAGTCATAGTTCTGCACAAATGCTATATGTAGCTTGTCAGCTTAACCTCTCTGGGCCTTGGTTTCCCCAAATGTAAATGGGATATAGGACCTTCTGTAGGGTTGTTAAGATTAAATGAGTTAAACTTGTATATGAATATTCATAGCAGCATTATTCAGAATAGCCAGAAAGTAGAAAACAGCCGCCCACATGTCCATCAGCAGATGAACAGATAAACCAACTCAGTCCATCCACACCGTGGAATATGACTCGGCCATGAAATGGAACAAGGCTCTGACAGTGGGCTTGCCGTGTCATGTGGTAATTCTATGGTTTAACATTTTGGGGAACTGCTAGACTGTTTTCCAAAGTGGCTGTACCACCAGCAACCCGTGAGGGCTCCGATTTCTCCACCAACACCTGGTATTACTGACCGGTTGATGCTAGCCAGCCTCATGGGTGTGAGGTGGGATCTCTTTGTGGTTTTGATTTGCATTTCCCTGATAACTAATGATGCTGAACTTCTTTTCACGTGCCCTCTCTATATCTTCTTGGGTGAAATGTCTATGCCTTTTAAAAAATTCAGCTGGTGTGGGGTTGGCTGGTTTGCTGACTTGGTTAGAGTGTGGTGTCGATAACACCAAGGTCAAGGGTTCGGATCCCCGTACTGGCAAGCCGCCAAAAAAAAGAAGAAAAAATATGTAACTGGTGTGTATTTCACATGGTTGAAAACTCAAAGAGCCTGTACTCTGAACCACCATGTTAGAGTCTTGCCTGTGGAAAGGTTTTTCCCCACGTTTAGCAGTAGAATCTGTGTCTTTTCCCCCTGGCTTTGGATCTAGTTGCCCCACCTGAAATAGCTCTGATTGTCCCTGCCGTTCTCCCTTCTCAGCAGGTCGAGTCCCAGTCACTGACCATGTTCCGGGACATCACCCAGCAGCTGCAGGCCACCTGCGCCTCTCTGGGGTCCAGCATCCAGGGGCTTCCCACCAATGTGAAAGACCAGGTGCAGCAGGCTCGCCGCCACGTGGAGGACCTCCAAGCCACCTTTTCTGGCATCCACTCCTTCCAGGACCTTTCCAGCAGCATCCTGTCCCAGAGCCGTGAACGTGTCACCAAGGCCCGAGAGGCCCTTGACCGCGTGGTGGAGTACGTGGCCCAGAACGTGCCCATCATGTGGCTTGTGGGACCCTTCGCCCCTGGAATCACCGAGAAAGCCCCAGAAGAGAAGAAATAGGGTAAGGGGAAAGGGGTCGGGAACTCCGTCCCTCCCTGAGCAGATGCAGGGGCACTGGATTCCTCCAACTGGTGGCTCATTTCGAGCCTGCTTTTTCTTTTTTCTTTTTTCTTTTTTTTTTTTTTGTCCTTTTTGAG